TCCCACCCCAGCCACGTTCACCGTGCCCTCCTGGCTGCTGGGGGGGGCGGGGGCAGAGGAGGAGCAGGGGCACCACCCGTGAGGGGAGCCGTGTGGAGGGCAGGGGTGGTGGGGCCCCATCCAACTGCTGGGGGGACCCTCCCTGGGCCGTGGGGAGTCCCACGATGTCCCGGGGTACCCCTGGGGCGCCTGAAGCATGACTCCCTCGTGTCGTCCACCCTGGAGTCTGAGGTTTCCCTGGATCCCCCGCCCCCTTCCCGCCAGACTGGGGGGCTCGTACTTGCTCTTGCGCGTGAAGCAGGGGAGGGCGTGGGGCGCGCGGGCTCAGTGAAGCCCAGGAGAGAGGGCTCCCCCCACCCCGGCAGGTGGACTGGGGGTGGTGGCCCAGCCCTCTGTACTGATTCTCCAGGGTGGCTGGCTCCTGGAGACTAAGGCTGGGTGGGCGCCGCTGGGGGTACACAGGAAGAGAGGTGGCACCGTCTGTGGGCCGGGCCTCACCGGGCCTGGGTGGGCCCCTTGGCGACGGTGACCGTGGTGCCCTCCTGGTCACTAGCCCTCGCGCCGTCTCAGGGCTCTTTACTTGGCATAAGTGCTTCCTTTAATCTTCTCAGCAGCGCTTTGACTTCATCCTGTTATCACTCCCGTTCTCCGGATGGGGACCCGAGGCGCAGAGAGGTGAAGTGACTGCCAGGACCACACAGCGAGTGGGCGTGGCAGAGCAGGGTGTGTGTGGGGGGGAGGCGTGACCCCAGAGTCCCCCTCCCCACACCTCCCTGGACCCCCACGTCAAGGTCGCTCTCTCGCCTCCCTGAGGCCCAGAGGGCGCAGTTCCTTGGCCCAGGTCCCACAGCTGGTCCCTGGTCCTGCGGCATCCCCAGGGTGTGGCGCGGCCACCTAACAGCCTGAGGTGGCCGGCGTTCAGGCAGGGGGCAGATCGGCTTGGTGGGCAGAGTGGCTGGTCCTTGGGGCGGGGGTGTGGGGGGGGTCACACGGGCCAGGGCAGCTGGTGGGGATGGACGCCCTCTGCAGTTCTGGGGGTGCCTCTGTGTCTCGGCACCTCGCACCTCCGCCCGGCCGTCTGGCACTGGGTCGGCCAGCCTGTCGCCTTCGCCGCGGGTGCGTTCCTGTGGCTGTGAGCAGCACGCGCGTGTCAGGGCAGCGGTGTGGGCATGCAGCACGTCCGCTCGGAGCCTTTGTGCGCCGGCGAGGCAGGAGCTCCCGGGGCCCCTGTCCTGCCGAAGCCGTGCGCTGCCCACTCACGGGGGCAGGGCGGGGAGGGGGGCGGGAAGGTGCTTCGCCAGCCGTCTGTGTCCACGCAGCCCGGCTCTGTGCGTGTCTGTGCCGCCGCCCTACTGTCCGCACTCAGCTCCCCGCCCCCCCCCCCAGCTCCCTGGGTGCGGGCCTCGCCCCACCCCGCAGCCGCAGGGGTGCCTGCAGCAACCACGGGCAGGAAAGGGTTAGTGGAGGCTCCGGCCCCTGACTCCTTCCCCAGCGTTCCCAGGGAAGGGGCAGCAGCGAGAGGCCTGCTCTTCGGAGGAAGGGGTGGGCGGGGGCGCGGCCAGCGCCTCGGAGCTCCGCGGCTCCCCGACTTCTGCAGCCCAGCTGTGCGGAGCAGCCCAGAGGCGGGGGGGGACGGGGGGGTGGGACGAGTGTGGGATCCGGCCCAAATGGCCCTGGAATTGGGCCGTGCAGGGCTCCTCACTCGCTCGCTCCCCTGAGACGGGAGGGCGGGCGGGTCCTCCTGGAGGCCCTGGGCGGGAGCCACGGCTGGGGTGTCAGGCGGAGCCCCGCCCCTCCCCCACGGCTTCCTCTGCCGCAGCAGTGCCCTTCCCCTGAGAACCTCGGCTGGAATCACGTGTGGCTTCCCTCCCCCTCCCCCTCCCCCCGGCCCTGCTGGAGGGGCCGGCCTGGCCCTCGGCCCCGGCCACCTACGGCCTCCCGTTTCGCTGCACCGGCCTTGCTTGCTGGAGGCCAGGGCGGGCGGGCGTGGGCAAGGGCTGCTTCCCGGCAGCCCCCACCGCCCCCCCCCCGGCCTGGCAGTGCCTGAGGGCCACCGCCACCCCTGCAGGGTGGGCCCAGATCCTGGACGTGGGAGGGCACCAAGGAGAAGGCCCCGGTGCCACCACTTAGGACAGAGCATGGAGAAGTGTTTCTTCGGCAGGGACTGCCCCTGGGCTGCGGGAGCTTTGCCGGGGGCTCACCGGGAGTTCTCCATGGACCCAGAGCCCCGGGTCCCCGCTCGAGGCGAGGAGGCCCCGGGCCCCGAGCTCTCCGTGTGCGGAGGAGGAAGCGAGAGAGAGGCCCCGTGGGGAAGAGTGCCGTCCCCGAGGCCGCACAGCCCAGCCAGCGGCTCCGGTGCCGTGATTGGGGGCGGTGTGGCCTCTCGGGCTGCGGTTGCTCGGGGCCAGCAGGGCCAGCGGGAGCAAAGCCAGCTCCTCGGAGAACAGTGAGGCCTGTGGTCTGGCCCGAGGGCCCGGCTTCCAGGAACACAGCCCTGATCCCTCACCCCGTGACCCCTGCGACCCCTCTGTGGGGAAGCCGGAATGACCTAGGCTCCCTGGGGCGTGTGGCTGCTTCCTGGAGGGAGGGGTGGGCGAGGGGTTGTGGGCCTCCCGTGGTTCTGGTGAGGGGGCAGGCCACGGACAGGCCACTGCTGCTGTCCATGGCCTTGGCCTGCCCAGGCGTTCTCCCGCCGTGTGGCGCGGCGCGGGTTCAGGACAGCCCAGGCGAGCAGAGGGTCGCGTTTCGGGTGGGGGACCGTCCGCTCCCCCAGCCCCTTCAGTACATTGGGCCACTTCGCAGATGCCGGTGACCCGGTCCCTCGGCGCAGTGCTGGGGCCGGGGTCTGAACCCAGGCAGGCGTCCTCCTGGGCTTGCGGGCCTGCCCTGCCCCTCCCTCGGGACCGGGGTCGGTGGGGTCGCAGAGCAGGGGCTCCCCGTGAGGTCCACACCCTAGTCCCCAGAGCGGGGCGTGTGTGTGTGTGTGTGTGTGTGTGTGTGTGTGTGTGAGAGTGTGTGGGGTCCTCAGGTCCAGTGGCCTCAGGCAAAGGGGGATCCGGGCTGCCAGTGGAAGTGAGATGCTAAGTAGCGAGATTCTCCTGGACAACCTGGAGGGAGCATCTTAGTTACTCTACACAGGCCCCCTGGGATCACAACAGTTCCTCAGATCGCAGAGTCGGCGGGGGGGGGGGGGGGCGGGGAAGTCACGTGGTGACCAGTGAGAAGGACCCCTCCCCTCGGCCGGGAGGTCGGGTGGCCTCCAGGCGCTGCGACTGGCTGGTCCCTCTGGAGCTATCTGGCTTCTGCCACTGGGAGATGACAAAAGGTGGTGTCATTGCTAAGTCACTTCACTTGGGGTGACTTGTCGCAGCAGCAGCAGCAGCAGCAGGAAGCGGACACGGTCGGGGAGCAGCGCTGCTCTTGGGAAGAATCCGGGGGCGCTCCCTGTGTGTCCTGAGCCCGGGAAGACGCCGGGCTCCCCCGGGCTCCCCCAGCTCCCGAGTGCACAGGGAGGCTGCCCTGGGCAGGGCGGGAAGGAAACCAGGGGAAACGGTTTCCCCCTTTCACACAGGAAGGCAAGGGCAAGGGCCGGCGCACTGTCCTCCTTTTTGTGGCTTGTTTTCCTTTCAGTCTTGGATTTCTGCAGCTGGAAGGGACTTTAGGGATCGTCTGCAAACAAGGGGGCAGAGGCCCAGGGAAGCGGAGTGGCCGGTCCCGGGACATGCAGGGAGTTCCAGCCGGATTTGGAGTTCCTCCTCCTGGAGGTGGGGGCAGGGTCCCAGGGCGGACTTTCTGGGAGCAGACCAGTTTGGTGTGTGTGTGTAGGGGCGTGGAGGAGCTGCTGTCGCAGCATGGGCTGCTTGTCCCAAGGACCGGGCGAGGCCCTGGCTGGAGAGGAGGCGGGGCCTCCCGCAGGCACCTGCAGGGCTGCCTGGGACTCCCAAATCTTTGCTGGTGGGTTTGTAATCCCTGCTTCCCCCCACCAGCATCCGGGGCCAGTAGGGGGCAAGAGTGAGGCTGTGAAGCTGTCACTTTGGGAGCTGAGAGGGGCCGGGTGCGCACACTCCAGCCCCACCCCCCACCGCTATGGCGGTCCTTTCCTGGGGCCTGGGACTCAAGCCTCATCCCACCGGCCGATGCCTGCGTGTCCCTGCGCCTGCATTCCCTCGGACGGGGCTTCTCGGGACTCGCTGAGCATGGCCTCGGTCGCCAGGCCCCGGGTCCCAGGCCCTTGCTAAGTGTGGCCCCATGGAGCGGGCTCCGCCCACCACCTCTGGGGCCTCGGTGCACCCCCCCTCACGGGGAGGCCTGAGCAGGCAGGGCCTGGGTCGGTGGGACCCTCCCCTCGTCCTCGGGGGCGGCGCTCGGGCACGCAGGGAACGAACAGCCCCGCTGTGCATCGTCCAGTTCCCGCTTCTGACTCCTGTCTCATGAGAACGTATCTTGATGTTTCATGTTTTTAATGACCTTTATAAAAAACGTTTCGTTTTGAAGTCATCTTAGACTCACCAGGCGTTTCGAAAGCAGCCGGGAGCCCTGGGTGCCCTTAGCCACCTCTCCCCCCGGGACAGGGCACAGACCTCGGGGCGCGCCGAAACCAGGAAGCCGCCGCAGGCCCAGGAACTGAGCCACGGGCGTGGCCCACGTTTCTTGGGGGCGGGGGGGATTCTACAAGATGGGATTGAGGCCCTAGATGCGTGTGGCCACCTGATCGGGGCGCGGGAAGGCTCCGTGCCCGTGGGGAGTGTGGCCTGGGCTCGGTCTGACCGGCACCTGCGATAGACCTTCGTTTCCGGCTTCTGTCCCTGAACAGGACGTTTGTGGGATTTCTTTCTTTTATTTTTTTACGTACTTTTTTTTAAGACTTTATTTATTTATTTTTTAGGGAGGGAAGGGAGGGAGGGAGAGAGAGAGAGAGAGAGAAACATCAATGTGCGGTTGCTGGGGACGTCGCCTGCAACCCAGGCCTGTGCCCTGACTGGGAATCGAACCTGCGATGCTTTGGTTCTCAGCCCGCGCTCAGTCCACTGAGCTATGCCAGCCAGGGCTTTAATGTACTTTGAACAGAGAAATTTCCCAGGTGACCCTTCAGCTCCAGCGTTAAGGTTTGAAATCACAGATGCGTGCAAGTGATTGGTAATCAAAACTCTCAAATCCGTCCACAGTTTCTGCTTGTTCCTTTTTTCGCTTCCAAGTCAGAGCCCCTGAGATGGGGCGGCTGGCAGCTGCTGGGCCCTGCGGGGCTGTCCTCCCGCCCGCCCACAGGCCCTGGGAGGGCGGGGGCCCCGGGGGCAGCCAGCGGGAGGGCAGCCACTCCGGGCATCTGCCTGGGTGCTGGGCACCACGCCAGTCCACCCGTGTGCCGTCTCTGTCCTTGTCGCCCTTGAACTCCGCCGAGGGAAGGGTCCCTCTCCCCTTTGGGGAGAGAAGAAAACCACTTCCCGGAGATGTAACAAATTTGCCCAAAGTCAGCTTGTGGGTAGAGACGGGTTTGAACTCCCGTCCTGACCTCGGAGCCTGTGTTCCTCAGGTGACAGGGAGAGTTTGGTGGCGTGCCTGCGACCCCGAGGTCCCGGGGGGCTCGCAGCTGGGATCGCGGGCCCCCGGGCAGGGAGGCTCAGGCACCGGGGACGCGCAGGTGTGTGGAGGGAAGGTGGGCCAGGGTCCCCTCTCTGAACCAACAGGGGGAGGCGATGTCACGGCCACTTCCCCATCTGGAATGTCCCGAGCCCCCGGCTCTGGGAGGAGAGAAAGGTGGAGAGAGCTGGTCCGGGCCGGTCTGGGCCCGATTCCAACACACTGCTTTGTTCCCCGGGGGGTATACCTGCCCCAGTGTCTTTGCTGAAGGGGCGTGGGGTTTCGGGCAACTCCCCTCCCCCCAGAACGAGGTCAGGGGCGCACAAAGGCCTCCTGTCACCTACACTGAGCCGCCGTGAACCCCCCTGGCCCTGGAGGAGAGCGATGCTTCCTCCGGCTGTGAGTTTTCTGCCGGGTCACGGGTCGCGAGAGCGGCCTGCAGCCCTTGGACTTCCCTCGCTACCACGTGCCCTCCCCCCAAGCCCTGCGGCGAGGGCAGGAAGTCTGGGTGACTTCCTCCCCTCGCAGGTGGGTTCCTCGCCCACGGGGCACGGGTGAGTAAACTGAGGCTCGGGGAGGTCACGGCTGGTCTCCTGGGTCACCTCACAGGTTGGACACAGGCCGGCTCACGGCTCCAGGCCTCCGAGGATTTCTGCCGGTCTGGAACACGGGCGCCGGCCCGACGGAGCCCACCCGGGCGCCTCGGGCTGTCCCCCTTCCCCCCGTCTCGAGGCACTGCCACTGTGCCCGGGACACTCGCTGCCCAGCCCCGTTTCTCTCGGGGACCTGTGGCGTGGGTCTGCGTGTCGCAAAACCGCGGACCCAGGGGCGCGGTGCGGACAGGCCGCTTACTTTCTGCGTCGTCCCCGCCGCCGCCGCCGCCGCGTGCTGGTCCGCCGGGGGCTCTGCCGTAGCTGTCCGTCCTCTCCTCCGTCCTCTCCTCCGTGGACGTCTGGGCTGCCTTCCGGCTTTTGCCGTGACGCGCGCCGGTGCCACTGCCTCCGCCACCGAAGTCCTTCTTGTGTCCCCTGGTAACTCGGGGATTTGGATTAAAAATAGGGTTCCAGCACCGTGGGACCCTGCCCGTGGGCCTGGGCCCCTCCACGCCCACCGGGACCTGCCTCTGGGGGGGGGCGGGGCTGGCGGGGTCTGACCCCTGGGCTCAGGCCGGGGCACAGCTGACGGGCTTGCAAGGGCAGACCGGGGTTTCCCAGACTGAGTTCTCTGTGGGACCGTTCCTAAGCATGATGGGGGCAGAGGGGTTCCTCGGTCTGACGAGTTTGGGAACCAGTTCAACTTACACACACACACACACACACACACACACACACTCTGCAGACTGTAATCCCTTTAGTGTACTGACAGGTACTTGTAAATGCCCCAAAGAGGGACAGTAAGGGCGGCAGCTGCCAGATTTTTTTTTGCCCGAGGAAACCCTCAGGTGGCGTCTGCGTGGGGGGCTCTGCTCCCGCTGTAACGGGCGTGGGGGAGGGGAGTCCTGAGCGCTGGCCGGGCCTGGGGCTCGGCCACGAAGAGGGGCTTTGGTTTTGGTTTGGTTTTGGGTTTTTGGGTAGGTGTCTGGGAGGAAAATCGTCTCCCTCTGTGCTCTTAGGGTCAGTCCTGGGGGTGGGGGGGGTCCGCACATTGATCTGACCGGGGCTGCATTAGCCAGAGGAGAGGGGGGTTTAATCACAGCCACGTGGGGACTGCTAGGAGCTGGGGCTTATTTGCTGGCGTGGCGGGGGGAGGGGAGGCCGAGGAGGAGAGCTGTTCCTGGAAGACTCTGGGGACTCTGGGCACATGGGCGGGCCTTCTGAGAACTGACTGGGCTGGTGGCCGGCCAGCGGCCAGCTCGGGGACAGCGTCTATTGAGGGCAGGTGTGGGCCTCATCTCTGGGGTGACCGTTAGTCCCCCCTGCCCCCTCGGGAGAAGGGTGCTTGGGGGAAGGGTGACCGCTGAGTTCCGGGAGGTGCTGCGTTGAGGCAGATAAGAGATTTCAGGAACTCCGATGCCCTCGGCTCAAAATAATTTTTGCGCCACAGCGGAGGGTTCTGGGCCCCTTCCTCGGCGGCCTCCCCCTGTCCTCCTCCAAGTCCAGCCAGGCCTCGGGCAGCGTGGAGGCCCTTTGCCAGAAGCCCAGGCCTCGCCCCTCGATTCAGCCGCGGCCCCTTCCTCGTCGCTGTCCGGCCAGGCGGGGGCCGCGCCCAGCCCCAGCTGAGGGCTGGCTGCGTGCTGGGTTGGTGTCGGTCCGACGGCAGGACGGGACAGACCTCTGGGGGGCAGGCGCTTCCTGGGGCAGGTGAAGGACTGGCGACCCCGTGCCCCCACTCACCCCTCGCGTGTCTCCTGGGCGCACAGCTCCTCGACCCGGGTCTTGCTAAATCTCGGGCCGCGTGGGCCTGTCAGCCCTCACGGGTGGCTCTGCACCCTGACTGCACGTCAGGGGCCTTGGAGAGATTCCTTTAAAAGACCAACCAGCCCCCAGATCAGTGAAGTCAGAGTCCCCGAGGGGTGCAGCAGCCATCCGTATTTGTTAGACGGCTCCTTGCCCCTTGATGGAGCGCCTGCTCTGCCCTCCCTGCCTCTAAGTACCAAACCACGTATCGTTGGACTCAAAATCCTACCATTTTAGCTGCTGAGCCTTTGTTCCGGTCCCTGGGAAGGGCAAGGAAGTTCGGAGCCTGGCATCTAACGCCAACTTGGAGCGCCCCCACCTGGCCATCCTCCCTCCTGACACCCCCGAACGGCGAGCTTGCAGGGCCTGGCTCTCTCCGGTGCCACAACAGACACTCTTGGCTTCTGGTATTGAAATCAACGCTGGGCCTGATTGTTTTATTGCCTGGTGTTTGGGATTCTGGCTTTGTGTCTGCCAGGAGTTTGCAGCCCTGGGGCACACTGGTGGGGGGGGGCAGGGTGTGCCTGGGGCTACTGTGACCTACAAAGTAGCCCTCACATCCGAGCAATAGAGGTGGCTAGAGATGAATAATGCCACAATGTTTACTTTGTAAGATACATTATTGATACAGTGATAGCTTCTCGAGAGGAAAAACAAAAGTGCACCAAAGGTGCCTGGGAGGGGAAGATGTAACCTGATAGTGGGGGTGGGCGGAACCCTTCTGAGAAGGGAGGAAATGGGGCCTCCTTGCCCCTGAGTCCCACAAACTGTTCTTGAGGCCGCTGCCTAGGAGACTCAGGAGGAAGCAAGTCAGCCTGGCAAGGACCAGGTTGGGGTGTGACTCAGGAAACATGAGGGAGGGGGTTGCTGCCCACATCTGATGGGGGACATCCGGAGGGCTTCCTGGAGGCGGTGGCTTTTAACAAAGGGGATTTTAGGTGAGGTTTGGGAGATGTCGGGGCCTGAATGAAGGGTGTAGGGTGCTCAGAGAAAAGCACGCGGCAGAGATGTGACTGAGCTGGGTGGGAAGGGGGGTCAGGACCAGAAGTGTCAGTCTGGGGTGGAGGTGAGGAGGCTGAGGTGAGGGGAGAGGGTGGTTAATGTTGCCCCAAGATCAGATGGGGTGGAACTGGATGTTGTGATGACGGTTTTTTCAAGAGTTGGGTTGTGACACTGACATGGGCAGCAGTTAGACAGCAGAGGTTAGGGAGCGAGGGGCTGGAGGGAGGGTACACGCTGTGACCTACACCAGCCGTCAAGAGGTGGTGGCATTCGGAGACGGAGAAAATCGGCAGTCAGCTGGGCCAGAGGAAGGCGGGGGTGGCTTGTTGTTGAGATTAGGGGGAGCTCAGCCGTCCTCCCAGGTGAAGTTGCAAAGGAACCGGAAGAAACAGAAAGGTATCAACCAAATGTAGCAGAACACCCAGGCGCTGCAGCCCTGCTGAGCTCAGACCAGCTCTGCAGGGACCACCAGCCTGTCCACCGCGGGGCCTGCAGGAGCTCATGCGCTGCCAGCGCCCGGGTCCACCAGCCTGCGGCACTTGGGGCTCCCCTCCCAGTGGTGTGGCCGCATGTGCAGGCTGCCCCCACCAGCGGTCAGCCGGCAGACCTGTGCTTGAACCCGCCCAGCCCTTCCCCTGCGCCCTGGGCGGGGAGCCCAGCCGCAGGCCCACAGATGAGAGCAAAGGGTGTTTTTCATGGTGTTTGGTGGCAGCACGAGCTGCACCCCACGAGGTCTGCCCGGGGTGGGCTGGGAGAGCTGGGCTTTGGGCTCACACCCGGGCTTTGAGCTGGGCCGGAGAGACGTGAAGACCTGGGAACCAGGACAGGACAGGTGTGCACGTGTGTACATGTGTGTGTGGGGGGGGCAGAGGGAGGACGCCGTGGGGTTCTGTGTCTCCTTCCCCTCTTTTCTGTGGACGCTGCCGCCTGTCAGAGCGAAGACATGTGTGGGGGCATCGCGTGGGTGCCCCTGGGCTGCGGGCGCGGACACCTGGCAGGCCGTGCTTTTCCCACAGTTGGAGGGGGGACCCTAACTGCCCCCCCAGTGGTGTCCAGAGTGGGACCCTGCTACCGGACAGCTGTCCAGTGGGGCCAATCGCCAGCGGGCGCAGTGGCCTTCAGTGTCCCTGTCGGGACGCCAGGGCACCCATTCCCATGGCGCACCAGCCTCGGGGCTTCCTCTGCTTCGAGGGTGGGGGTCGAGCTCAGAGGGACAGCCTTGGGGAACCCCACACAGAGGGCCGGCGCTGTGCGGGCGTGGGGGGGGGCGCTGTGTGCGTTTCCTGCGGCTGCCACGACCCCCTCGGCGGCCCGGAACAGGAACTTTCAGCCTCAGAGCTCTGGGCGCCAGCAGTCGGAAACGAGGGCCACCGGGCTACGCCACGGCGTGGGCAGGGGCTGGCCCCCGGCTGGGAGCTGCAGGGGGACGGCCCGCCCTTGCCCGCCCGGCTTCCGGCGGCCGCTGCCAGTCCTCGGCTTGTGGCCGCACCGCCTCTGCAGAGCCCCTCCTGCCCGAGACGGCACTCGGCTTCCGGGGGGCGGGGGGGGCAGGGCTCAGGGTTTGTCTGGGGGCCCCTGGTTTTAAGGTCTAGAGCCGAACAAACTGGCTCAAGGGGGGACAAGGACGCGTTAAGTTCTCTTTTTCTTTAAATATATATATATATTGTGGTGGTAAAATACACGGAACATGGGATTTACCGTGAGGAGCATTTAGCACATTCATGTCATCCTGCAACTGTCACCCCTGTCTAGTTCCGAGACAAAGTCATCACCCGCAGAGGAACCCCTCTGTGCACTCTCGGCCGACCCCCATTCCTGCTCCCCCCTTGGCAACACCAGTGCACCTCCTGTGTCTCTGGATCCTTCTGGAACTGGTGCGGTTCTGGGTGACTGGGGAGTTCCTGGACACGGGCACTCGGAGCTGCTCGTTGGAAGGGTGTACACGCTGGGGAGCCGGCGCCCTCAACGGTGGTGACAGCGGCCCCGGTCACAGCAGCCTTAGCTGTTGGCCTCCCTCCTCTCCTCCCTCCTCCTTTCGGGGGTCTCCGCCCGGATTTCCGCCCTTCCCTTTCCTCTTTGCACACGGCCCCCCCCATGGTTCCCCAGCCCCCAAGTCTGCGTGGCCTCCGAGGCTCTGGGCCCTCCACCAAGAAGGCTCCGGGCTCTGGGGGGAAATCCCAGCACCCCACGCACCCCCGCGGAGCCATGCCGTCCGAGTCAGGCCGCTGGTCAGCCTGTGGCCGGCTCTCGTCGAGGGAGGGGCCTGAGCTCCCAGGTGGCCCAGGGAACCCCAGAAAGGGGTGGGTTGGTGGTGGCAGGGGCTCCCATCTTTGGGGCGGTCTGGTGGGTGCTTAGCGCGTGCAGGGAAATCACCTGTTTAGGAGAAGCTGCCTTCTTTCTGGTGGTGGCATCTGAGAGGGATGTCCGCCGTGCACTCCCCGCCGGGGACACTGCGACGTGGGGGTCAGAGGCCTCAGCAGCCTGTTGCTGTGTCCCGCGGGGCGGTGTCCTGTCTCAGCCCCAGGTGGCTGCACACACCGCTGCTGAGGCGGAACCGGGGGAGGGGGGCCCAGGTGGGATAGAGGCCCCCGGGGGTCTGGTGCCCTCCCGGGGTGACACGGAGGGAGAACATCGAGAGAGGTGCTGTCGGCGTGAAGCGTCTCCAAGCCGCGGTGCGGCAAGCGTGCAGACCGCCTTCGTTTCGGTGCTGGGCACGTGTCCAGTTGACGGTGTTTCGGCTCTCTCGGGGACGCGAGGCATTAAAATGAATCCACTTGGTGTCTTCGTCCCCTGTTACTGCGGCTACCGGAATCTTTCAAACGACAGAACGGACGGGCTTGTTTCTGCTGCAGATTGAGCGGCTGCACTGGCTCCGGCCAAGCACCAGGGGGCGCTGTGCAGTCCTGGGGGCGGAAGTTCTGTGTCAGAAAAGTGCCCAGACTGGGAGAGGGGGCTTGTTAGCCTCAGGGACTCCCTCTCCTGCGCCCTAAAGACTCCCACTCACCGGTGACCAGTGAGGACGGCTGTGTAGAAAGCACCCAGGCCTCCTCCCTGGAGGAGGAAGTGGGGCGGGAGGAGGAAGGGTGGGGAGGGGGCGGGCCTTGGGGAACAGGTGGGTACCCAGGAAGCAGCGCTGGGCCCAGGGAGCAGCCCGTGGGGCCAGAAAGCTGGGGACAGGGCCAGGCCAGAGGCAGAGGAGGGGTTCCTCGGGGCTCTCCGGGAGCAGGAAGCCACCAGGGCAGGTGGTGAGTGGAGGTGACCTCCCCGAGGCTCCCTGTCAACCCTGCCCCCGGGAGCGACGGGAGTCCCTCTTGGCCCCCTTGGTTGCAGGCTCTTGGGGCTGCCCTTCAGGGCCTGGCAGGGGCGGGCAGGGGCAGGGGGCGGGGTGCGCTCCCCAATCCCTGCCCCGGGAAGTCACCTGCTGGGAGGAAAGGGAAGTGCGTGTTCTGAGCTGCTGCCTTCCTGGTTTGGACACAGGCACGTTTCCTTGATTCTTGCGATTGGGGTCGATCGTGCCCATTGTACAGATGGGGAAGGTCAAGTCCTGCAGCCGTGGAGTGATGGGCAAAGAAAGGGCCTAGGTTCCGGTGTTTGACTCTGAGCTCACATCTCAGACCCGCCCCGAGCCTCCCTCCTGCTGAGATGGGAGCAGGGACTTGGGGCGTGCTCTCCCACCCCCGGGCGCTCCCTGTCTTTGCCCTGGGGTCCAGGGACAGACGGAGCGGCTCCTCAGGGCGTGTCAGCTGTGTGGGTGGGGAGGGGCAAGGGACAGTAGCCTCCCAAGCCTCTGTGGCAAACCGGAAGACCCCGAGGCCGCTGGGGGGAAGTGGGCCATCAGGAGTGGGCAGCAGCTGCGCTGGACTGGCAGTGGACCAGCAGGACAGAGCCTGCCCGTGGGGTGGGTGGGGTGGGTGCTCCGGGGCCTCAGCCCCGTCTGGCTGGTGGCCGGGAACCTGAGAGCCAGCAGGGGACGTGTCTTGGGAGCAGCAGTGGCCCCCGGGGGCTGGACGGGCGTTATTCCTCCCGGAGGAAGGAGGACCGGCCACTGGCCCTGCAGCAGCCCTCGCAGGTGTCAGCCAGGGCTCCCTGCCCCGGGCAAGGCCCCAAGACCGGCCCGGGGGAACCCTGCTCGTGTGAGAGTCAGCCTGGGGCTGCCAGGCCACACCCCTGCCTGGGAGGGAGTGACTCACTGGCTGAGGGTCAGAGGTCGGGGCAGGGGGTGGGTCTGGCCTATCCCAGCCTTCAGGCCCAGCCCCAGCAGGGCTGCTCCCGAGCTCGCTCCTCTGGGACCCCCCAGCCCATCCCCCAGGGGTCCCACCTCCACTCAGCTCCACTCGGGGCCTGCAGGGAGGGGAGGAGGAGGAGGCTGACTCACTGCCCAGGCCCTGAGGGGCTGGGGCAGCCGGAGCGGGACTGGAGTCCGAGTAGTGAGTCTCCAGGAAGAAGAAAGAGCCCGGGTGAGCTGGCCCCACCCCCGCCTCTCGGCCCGGCCCGGTCGGCAGTGGGGGGGCCACAGGGCAGGGAGCTTAGGCGTGTCGCCGGGGCCGGCGGGGGTCAGGGCCGGGTTGAGGGGGGGCGCATCTGGGGTGCACCTGGCAAAGGGGAAGCAGGGGGCGGGGCAGCGGGGGGGGGACAGGACGCCCACGGGCACGCCGGAGTCTTGGCGCCACCCAGCACCCCGGCAGGGGACGGGCCGCGGGGAGGGGCCTGGTGGCCGTGCAGGCGGCGTGGGCTGCTGGCCGTGGCGGCCCGGCCGGACTGGACGTCCAGGTGAGTTTCTTCCCCCCTCCTCCCCGGAGCTCTCCCCTGGGGGCCACGTGACCTGACTTCGGGGCGACCGAGGCTCGCTTGGGAACCCCGCTCCTCCGAGCTCGTCAGGCACAGAGAACGCCGCCCGAGAGCCCGGCTGCTTCCGGGGCTGCGGCGGTGGGGGGGGCCTTCTTCCCGCCCGGTCCCCCTTGGCGCCCCCCTGGCCCTGCCCCTGGGTGCCGGTTCCCCCTCCGAAGGCGGCTGCGGTCCCTCCTACCTCTGCCCGGGACGCTGCTCAGGGAGCCTCCTTGTTCCTCGGCCACAAAGCCCCTTTGATCCTCTGCTCGGCTCCGAGCCATGTGACCCGGTGGGCGGGCCGCACTCGCAGGCAGCCGGCGCGGCCGACTCCGCTGCTGGGGTGAGTCCTGCGCTCCCTTTGTTCCCTCCGGCCTGGCGCGGGGGGCCGGGGGCCCTCAGGTGTCCTGGCCGTCCGGCAGCCCCGGACGGCTGCTGGGTGGCAGGGCCGGGAGCAGCGTGGCCCCAGGGCACCCCCAACCCCCAGCCCGGCCCGGGCCCCTCCTGGCCGGTGGGACAGCTCCCGGCCCCCCGGAGAGGGACGGCAGGGGCTCGGTCTCCACGCGGGGCCCATATTTTCGGTCTCCGAGTAGAAGAAAAGGGCTTTGTGCCGCCACAGCTCTCTCTTTGTAAATATTTGGCCGGCAGAGCCGAGTGGTGCGGCCACCCCCCCCCCCACCCCTGGCGGGAGTTTCTTGGAGGAGTCAGTTTCCCTCGCTCAAGGGGCTTCCCTGACTTCCGGGGGGGCTGCGGGAGCCCGGGGCTGGCCACCTCCGCCTCCTGGGATCGTCCTCCGTGAGGGGCAGGCGGCCTCCAGGGCCAGCGGCGGATCAGTGTCAGCAGACGCTGGCCGCGCCGGGCTCAGATGCCGGGACAGTTCTGCCGGGGCTTGTCTGGGGGCCTGGGAGGCTGGGGTGTGCCGTGTTGGCTGGGAGCGGGCAGGTGGGCCGGCCGAGGTCCACAGTGCATGCCCTTTGCCGGAGAACCTGGGGGACCAGGGGGGAGGGGGTCCCACCCCCTGTCAAGGAGGGGAGGCGGGGAGAGGGCAGCTCTGGGGGACGTGCCTTCAAGGGCACGCGCCCGCCACGCCGAGAGGCTGGGAGCAGCCCCCGAATCCCTGCCGCGGCCGGCCCTGCCTGTCACCCCGGCGTGCACCCACGCCCAGGTGCCCGGAGGCAATGCATCTGCTCTGAAAGCTCGTCCCCAGTGTCCCCCGGGGATTGAAGTCTGCTGGCATTGTCGGAGGTTTGGGGAAGCCCCCCTGCTCCCCAGAGGGGAATTGGAAATTCCTTTCCTTGGAGAAATATGTGCCGCCTGGCCGGCAGCGGGGGTGTCTGGCTGTGGGGACGGCACCCCGGTTGGAATTCGGTTTGGACGCTGTGTGGGGGAGAATCTGGTGGGAGGCGGCGGACGGGGCTGCGGCCCCTCAGCTCCCTGGCGTGGGGCGGGTGGTCTTCCCTGTCACTCGTCGTCCCTCTGCCCCCCTGGGTGTTTATGTAAGTGCCGTTTGTCTGTGGCAGTGCAGGGGGCACCCCGGAGGCCATGGGAAGGACTCCTTTGTTTGACCATTTTGGGGGGGTGGCGTCCACGGGAGGCCTCCTTGCAAGGGTGGGGTTCTCGCTTCTCTCCCCTGGGGTCTCTCCTGGGGGAGGACGTGGCTGGGGAAGGCGGCCACCTGCGGCTGACCTCTTTTCGGCCCGGCCCCGGGGACCTGCGTGGTCACCGCCCTTGGGTGTCCCTGTCGCCTCGCTGTTTCCGTGTCGCGGCCACACCGTTGCGTGTGCTGGTTTGCGTCTGTGCCTCTGGCAGCTTCTGCTCCTTGGGGCTGGCGCCGTGGGGGCCGACATCCTGGGAGGACGGCCGGTCGGTTCAGCTGTCACGCGGGGCGGACCTACTGTGCGCCGGGGCCGCGCGCGGAGCGTTCAGAGGTGGAGGCGACAGAACCCTGTTCCGATGGAGGGCGCAGCCACAAGGCGGCCGGGGCCACCGCTGCTCGTGGCCTGTGGTGGCCTGTGAGGTCGGTCCCCGAGACACAGCCCGGTGGACGTTGGGGTTCACCAGGCTCTCTCCACAGATGCCCCGGGCCCCCTGGGCACCCCAGTGTCTGGGCTGCCAACTCCCCCCCCCCCGTCCCCTCCCGGCTCCCCCAGGCCACGTGCCCTCCCCACTTCCTGTTGTCAGGCAGGCAGCCTGTGCCGCGCTGTCAGACGGGGCTGCACACAGGGGCCGGGAGGCACGCGGCAGAATGGGAAGACCCCGCCCCTAGGAGAGCCCCCCACCCGCCCGCAGCGGCCCAGCTTCCTGCCCTGTCAAAGGTCTCGGGGCTTTTTTTAAGGAAGCCGGTCGCCACGGCGAGCTTCCGTTTTCTGATGCCCCCCCTCCCTGCCCCCACCTTCAGATCTTGGGCCGGCTTCTTCATGCCCCCCGGGGGTCCTGGGCCCCCACCTCGCGTCGGCCCCGTGTCGGGGAAGAGTGACTTTATCTCAGTGCGTGAGGGAGGGGACACATGCTCGCCGCCCGCTCCGCGTCCTGGCCGGGGTCGTCGGCAGTGTGGCCGTCACCTTCCACGCCCCGTGGCTCCCGCCCGTCCCTCCCCTCCCATCCCCCAGCTCTGGCCGAGGCCGGTGCTGCCAGCTGGGTCCGTGGGGATGCAGGGTCGGACGTGGCCCAGGGCCCAGGCGCCCCAGCTCCCTACGCGGCGGAGGACGTGGGAAGGTGCTTCCAGCAAAACCCGTAGCCCGTGGCTGGGTGGGATGCCACTCCCAGGCTCTGCCTCCCAGCGCGGAGCTCTGATTGGCTCGCCGAGCGCCAGCCTGGTTCCTGGGACAGGTAGGGGCCTGTTGTCGGGGGCCGGCGCAGCCGCGGATGCCTTCCCAGGAACGCCGCCGCCACGAGGCCGAGCCTGAGCCTGTTCTCCGAGGGGCAGCTGGGCAGCGGGAAGCGGAGCTGCAGGCCTGAGGTCAACCGGTGTGTGTGGGGGGGGGTCTCGCCCCAGCTGGCAGCCCCCTCTGTCCTGCCTGCCTCCGGGGGCGGGCCTAACGGGCCTTGTGTGGGGCTGGCACGGAGTGGGAGGGACTTCTCCCCACCTGGGCTCCTCCCCCGGGGGTGGGGGTGGGGGTGGGGTTCATCTCTTTCTTCCCTCTGGGAACCAGACTTGGGCCAGGCTCTGGGGGGCGGGGAGGAGAGGGCTCAGCCCTCCGGGGCCCGAGCGGCCGCTGGGCCCTGGTCCGGGGGAGGCCGGGGCAGCCCCGCACGGAGGCCCTGAGACGTGAAGGTCGCCCGTCGGCTCCGACCCGTCCTCCTCGCTGTTTCTGCCCGAACACGACTTTAATCGGGATCCACTGGCTGGATCGGGGCAGGAGGGCCCCCAAATTTATCGTCCCTGTCTCGTCCCTGGCCTGACGCTGGGGTCCGGACACCACCCTCTGTGATACCTCAGCCCCCGTGCGCCCCGGGGGGCTGCCCTCGGAACCCCAGCTACTGGGTGGTGACCCCACACGGCTGTCAGAAAGGGGGTTCGCTGGCCTCCGGGGCACCCCGGCTCTGTCTCATTGCACTTGCCTGCCACGCAGCACCTCTCCGGGGGCCATGCCCCCCTAGGGCCTGCCCCCTGGCCTGCCGGGACGCCCAGCATAGTGTGGGCAGTGACGCGGCGTCCAGGTGTGCGTGTCAGAAGAGCGTCCCTGCTGGAGTCCCCAGTGTGCCCAGCAGGCCCCCCCCCGGCAGGCACTCCCCTCTCCCCACCCAGGCCCGGTCCCCGGAGCCTGTCCCCAGGCCCCTGACACTGGACCACCCGCCGGGGCGGGGGGCATGTGCGTCCTTCAGGAGGCTGACCGCAGGGGTTGCGTTTCACTGGTCAGTGTCCGGGTGCCCCGGACATCCTGGGCGCTCGCCCGGTTAGCGTCTGAGTGAGCACATGGTGCCGCCTGGCAGACCCCTGTGGTTCCCGCAGGGCCGGCTCCAGGGCCTCGGCCCCTCGTGCTGCCCTCGGGGTCCCTGGTCCCCTCGGAGCCGTCCACGACAAAAGGGGCCCAGGAGCCACATTTGTCCGGGGGCTTGAACCCGTCCTCCTGGGTGGGGTGGGGCTTATTGACCCCAGCCCCGCCCCCACACCCTAGCAGGGACCACGGGAGCTGTGTCTTTTGTCCCTTGTCTGCCCAGCCCGGAGGAGAAGCTGCCCATTGCCGGGTGACAGTCCCGGACCTCGAAGACTAATGGCAGGTCGGACAGCGGCCCCATTGTAGCCGGGACACGGGGCGGGCGGCGGCGGCCGGGGCCCGCACATCGCCCAGAGGCTGGGGGAGGGGTGGCGCCCACCCAGAGGGGCGGGCGACTCGGTGAGGCGGCGTCATCCTTCCTGGGGCCGTCTGCCCCCAGGCCTCACGCACCTGCGCCGCCCGCTGCCCGCCGCCGTGCGGCCACTACCCACCGTGGGGCCGGTGTGCCGGGCCGGGAGCCCCATCCCGGCGCCGTCTCGGCCACCGTTGACTCCAGGCCTGGCGCCCGGGCCTCCGGGTCCTCATCTCGGGGGATCTCACCGAACCGACCGCTGGCGGGTGGGGCTGCCCCTCCTCGCACGACGGGGGTGGGCACCGAGGCAGAGAGGTGAGCGATGGATCGGGTCGGGGGGCTTCCCCGGCCCCGCCCCCCACATGGGACTGTTTACGAGGGGGGGACAGAAGGCTCCGCGGGGTCACCCACGCTGCCTGTGCGGCGCTGACGGGTGGGCCTGTGTTTGTGGCTCTCTCCGGAGCTGTGGCCCCCACCCGTGGACCCCAGGGTTTCCTTTTACCCCCTCTGGGCCGCTCTCGCTCCACTGGCCAGACGTGGAAACTGAGGCAAAGGGGAGAAGTCCCCGCGGAGGCGAGGAAGTGCTCCCTGCAGCGTCCTGCCCTGCCAGGGGACGTAGACGCAGCGGTGCGCTCATTACAAGGAGGCCGCGGCCAGCGCGGGAGCCCCCTGCCGTGCGTCCCCCGCGCAGGTGAGGCGTGAGACCCTCACCCCGGCCCCCTCTCAGCGCCTGGCTGGCTGAGAGCCCTCAGAGGCAGAGGTGGGGCCGCTCCTCGGTTCCCGGGCGGCACGGCATCCTGGGCGGGGCCGGTGTCCTGGCTCGGGGTGGGGGTGACTGGGGTGGGGGGGGAGTCCGGACGTTGTGGGGACGGTGCTGGTCCCTCCCAGTTTGGCTGCCGCAGGGGCGGGGGTCTCCGAAGAAGGGCAGCTCACCTGTGGTTGGGCCTCAGCCTCAGGGCGCAGGGGTGTTGAGCAGCAGGCACCGGAGGAG